ACCATGTTGACCAGGATGGTCTCGATCTCTTGACCTCGTGATCCACCCGCCTCGGCCTCCCAAAGTGCTGGGATTACAAGCATGATCCACCGCGCCCGGCGAAAGGATTTAACCTCAAGACATGGAGCGGCATATTCAGGGATGGCTTCCTGGATTTTGCAGGCAATGTAAATAATAGCAAGAAGATTCCCGCTGTGTGATGTGAGGTATGTCCTGCCGGGCTGGGGCAGGAAGCTGCCCAGGCTGGGCTGCTAAGGATGCACCAGGCAGGCGCCCCACTCCCCTGCCGATGCAATCAATGTAATTGCAGAGCTGCACCCCCCTCCTCCCTCTCCCACACATCCCACGCCACTCATTGGCCTCACTCACTCTCCCAGGAGTGCCAGGCACTGTGCAAAGCATTCTCAGGGTGGCAAGGGTTTAGAGGTCAGAGATGAGGATGAAGACACCAGTTACCACCCAATTCAGTCATGGAGTGAGATTTCTTTCACTTACGTACAAATCATGGCTCCCTGAGACGGAACGGTGAACTTCCTGGGGGTGAAGTCTGCATTTGGAGCAGCCAGCCTGTGGCAACTTGGAAGTCATCTGTGGCATATCATTTTTATAGATGAGATCATTAAAGGAGGAAGTGAAGTGTCAAGTGGGTCAGGCTTGGAAACAACTTAGATGTTCAGCTGTGGGGAAATGGATAGATCCAATAGGGGAAACTGGATGGGCACTGTGGCTCACGTCCATAATCCCGGCACTTTGAGAGGCCAAGGCAGGAGGATCACTTGAGCCCAAGAGTTTGAGAACAGCCTCAGCAGAGTGAGACCCCCGTCTCTATAAAAACTAAAAAGCAAAATTTGCCGGGCGTAATTGTGGATCTATAGTCCTGTCTACTTGGGAGGCTGAAGTGGGAGGATCACTTGAGCCCAGGAGTTTGAGGTTATAGTGAGCTGTGATCACGCCACTACACTCCAGCCTGGGCAACAAAGCAAAAACCTGTCTCTTAAATTTTTTTGTAAAGGGATATTTGTAAACGGATTATTATACAGCAATGAAAAGGAGTTATCACCATACTTACCAGCATGGATGAATCTTGAAAATTAATATTGAAGAAAAGAAAGTTGCAAAGGAGCCACAATTGTAACATCATTTATATCCATTTAAAAAACCATTTACTCACGGCAGTGCTCTTTGTTGTTCTTGCACACGTGTGTGTGCATAAGAGTGGCAGAGAGCCTGGAAGAATGCAACTGTGTTAAATATGGCCCATGTGTGTGGCTGTGGGGAGGGGAGCTGCCTGGCTTTGAGGGGCTGTCTAGACCAGTGATGATACTGAGTCTCTCACAGACTGTCCTTGAGGGAATCACTTCATTCCTGTGTGCCTGCCAGTCAAAATAAGTGAGTACGTTTCCCAGGGTCTCCCAGCCTGCAGTGACCACAGCCTGGGTCAGGGGCCTATGACTCCCGATCTGCCTCCCCCATGGGTCTTCAAAAAATACCCGTTCAATTCTTGGGACTTCTGCATTCATAACATCAATATACTAGGAGAGCTTTCTTAGCCAACAGAAAATTCTCTTCTGAATCCTGAATGTAAAAGTCTACCCCAGAGTGCATCATCCCATCTGCCTGGAGATCCTGGGTGTTCTTTGGTTTATGTGGAACATCACCGTGTCTGCTTGTTTTTGCTGTTATGTCTTCTTGTTCTTGCTAAGGGAGTCTGATTCAGCCTCGGCACACCCCGTCCTTCCTCAGAGGCCTCCTTTGTTCTTCCGGGATCAAACTTCTTTGGTTCTTTTTTTATTTTCCTTTTCTCCATCCAACCCCACTTAGCTCCAACATCTTCTCTGTGCCGTGACCTGTGCTGGCAGGATTCAGATGGCAGTGCAAGATAGTCCCTCCCCTAAAGGGACTTAAAATTCAGTACTCCCCCTCCCCCAGGCCTTGCAACAGGGTAAGGCAGGGTCAGCAATGAAGGAACAGGGAAGGAACAGTGAAGGAAACTCCAAAGGGAGGTCTATTCAGAGAAGAAACTTTCTTTTCTTTTTTCTTTCTTTCCCTCCCTCCCTCCTTCCTTCCCTCCCCGCCCCTTTCTCTCTCTTTCTTTTTCTTTTTGAGGCAGGGTCTCACTCCATCATTCAGAATGAGTGCAGTGGTGCAGTCACAGCTCACCGCAGCCTCAACCTCATGGGCTCAAGCAATCCTCCTAGTTCAGCCTCCCAAGTGCCTGGGACCACAAGCACACGCAACCACGTCCAGCTAATGTTTTTAAGTTAAAAAAATAATAATTTAAAATTTAAAATTAATTTTTTATTTTTTAAAGATACAGAGGCGTCACTATGTTGCCCAGGCTGGTCTCAAACCCCTGGACTCAAGCGATCTCTCGCCTTGGCCTCCCAAAATGCTGGGATCATAGGCATGAGCCACCAGGCTGGCCCAGAAGTTTTCATAAAGACTGTCAACAACCATGGGGAGGGAACTGGAAACGGAGCTGATGAGCCATGGTGGAAGGGCCTGGAAAGCCACATTCCATTTCAGAGAGAGGGGAGCGCTGCTGTCTGCAGCCCTCAAGGATCCAGTCATGCGGGTTTGGGGGAAGGAGGGCCCCGGCTGGAGTCCACACAGGTTGAGACAATTAGGGGGATAATTTGGGCTGAGTCATCTTGGTGGAGAGGGGGGCACGGGGGGAGGGTGTTGGGTGGGTGTGGGCCCCATCCGCATAATTACTGCAGACTTCTGGTTCTCTTTGACACAGCACTGAAATAAATTTACCCAAGGCTTGAAAAGTGTTGATTCTCCTCCTGTAGCGTAGCATTGACAGCAAAATCTCCCTGAACCTCACACCAGGGTGACCGAGGGAGGGTCCTGTCTTAGGGGTGGGAAGCAGGGATCGTAGGGGAAAACAGGGCAGTTCTGTTCCTACCCCAAGCCTCAATACAGCCTTAATCTGGAAAATGGGAACAAGGCCATATTCCATCAATTCTGAGAAGTGCTTTTCTTCCCTCATTATAATATCTCTAAGATGGTGATGTGATTTACAACTGACGGTGTCTTGGATTTGGTGAACTCTGATGATAAGAAGAGAAAAATAGCAGAATCGCTACCATTTATGGAGTGCTTACTCTGCGTCAGGCCCTGTGTCTGGAAACTTTACAATGTAATCCTCTCATCAACCCTAGGAGACGGGATTTCATTTTATGGATGGAAAAGCCAAGCTTCCAAGGGTGATTCACATGCCCATACTGGGCACAGACAGTATGTAGGGAATGCAAAATACGCGGAAGCGTTTGTTTTCGATTTTTTGAGACAGGGTCTCACTCCATCACCCGGGCTGGAGGGTAGTGGTATGATCATGGCACACCATAGCCTCAGCCTCCTGGGGTCAAGTGAGCCTCCCACCTCAGCCTCCCAAGTAGCTGGGACCACAGGCACGCACCACCATGCTCGGCTAGTTTTGTTTATTGTTTGTAGAGATGGGGTCTCACTGTGTTGCCAAGGCTGGTCTCAAACTCCTGGGCTCAAGTGATCCTCCCACCTCAGCCTCCCAAAGAGTTGACATTCCAGGCATGAGCCACCACACATGGCCTCGTGAGGTGGTGTTGACACTTACACATGTACGTGTAGTTTGAAAAGATTCCATATTTAAGCATTCAGTGTGGTGCCTCACGCATAGTGGGCGTGTGATGGTCGTACCCTTCCAGGCTGCCTCTTTTCAGGCCGTAGCACTGCCAGGCACAGGGATGGAGGCTCTAGAAATGTTTGCTGCCCGACAGACTGGAAGGATGGATGAACTCTGCTAAATGATGCCCCGCTCACATGTCTCGGCTCCCTGCAGGTCATCTGAGGAGACAGCCCCTGTGCTCTTGGCCGGGTGACTGGGCAGGCTGGCTAGAAGTGCTGGAGAGTTAACACCCCTGGACCCACCCCAGGGGCAGCCCTCAGCCAGAGAGGGATGGGCGCTGGGGGGTACATACCCCAGCTCCCTCGTCCCTCCGTGGGGGCAGCCGCAGCGTCTCCCAAAGGTCCCCAGCAGGACTGTGCCGATTCCTATAGCGGTCAGCCACTCCCTAATGCATCCTTCATTGGTTTCCTCCTCTGTCACTTCCCCACGTCCGATCCTGCTCCTGGAATCACCTGACAAAGGGCTCGCCCTGAGATCCTTGCCCGAGGGCCCTCTTTCGGGGGAACCCAGACTGAGGCAGTAGTGAAGTGGGCTTCACCTGACAGTGCCAGCCAACGTAGTGGCAGGTGTGAAAGGATCGGCTGATGATAAAGGGGACCCACAGGATGAAGAGGGGGCCAGGTCCTCAGATGGCTCACAGGAAGATGCCCCCAGTCACCGGGAGAGTTCTCAGTTCTGTGGCTGGAGGTTGGTAAGCCGAGGCTGCAGGTCAGTGGCTAGACGAGGAACCCCGGGGGAATTCATCACTCATGTCTGCGCACGGAGTGGGGCTGGCTTCTCCCCAGGCTGCTCAGACTGTGGTCCTGGGGAAACAGCCCTGGACTCGCTTGCAGTCAGGCCCCCCTGGGTTCAGATTCCAGCCCCGCGGCTTCCAGGCTCTGTGGTCGCACCTCCTTCTGAGCCTTGCTTTTCTCCTCAGTGCAAGTCACTGCCTCAGGCTTCGGAAAGGACTCGTAGCAGTAAGATGTGTAAAGCGCTTCACACAGAGCCAGGCACCTCGCGAACGTTTACCACAGAGGCTGGGTGCACGGGATCAGGGTCACTTTCTGGGTCTGGGAAATTTCATTGTCTTTCTTTCAGCTGTAAAATGAGGAGTGGGGGCAAACATCCTCACTTTACTGCTACAGGAAAGCACAGGAAGGATTAGAGATTATGTACGAGAAGCTCAGAGGCAGCATGCAGTGGCCACGTGGCAAATGTTGGAACCACTGGTAGGAGGTGCTAATCAAAATGAATTTTATCCCCGACACTCGCTCTCCTCCTGCCACACTGGCCTATTTTGTTCCCACCACAGGGCCTTTGCACATGCTATTTCTGCTGCCTGGAAGCCCTCCAGGCCCTGACGTTCTTGTGGCATCTCAGACCTTCCTCGCCATTGTTCCAACTGTATAGCTTCATGTGATGGTTGGAGGCTGCCACTCCCTGTAGCGTGAGCCCCAAGAGGCCAGGGGCCATGGCTTTCTGGTCCGTGAAAGCTTCCCTACCTCTCTGCATGCAGATTCTAGCATGCAATCAGTGCCCAACGAATGTTTGTTGAGTGAATGTCTGAATAGGGGGCTTGTGTCTCTGGGAAACTCCGGAATATATGATTCAAATGCAAAGAATTCAGGACTGGGGTGGGTGAGGGAAGAGAATTGCATTTGCTTCAGCCGTTTATTCCAGGCTGGAGGAAAGGGGCGTGTTTGCGGTGCCTGATGAGACTGCGTTCAGAGCCCAGCTGTGGCTGTTTTGCAAGTTCAGTGATGCTGCCCACCTATGGAGCCTCGGGCTCCTCATCTGTAAAACAGGGAGAATAACACGCACCTGAGCGAGTTGTCGGGAGGAGGAGAGAAGCATTAGGTTGGTGCAAAAGTAATCGCGGTTTTTGCCACTGACAGTAATGAATGGCTCAGCAAAGCCAGCTCTATCTGCAGATAGCTTATGTCTTCTACTTTTCTTCAAAGAAGGGACTCTTTACCTGGTCTGTGATGTTCTAGAATTTTCCACAGAGCCCAGAGCCTGAAGCCCAGGGATGTACTGTGGTTATGAGGCCGTCATCTACTAGAAAGTTGTAATTGCTGGGTCAGATTTAATAGCACACTGGAGAGCAGGTGGCCAGGCTGGGCGGCTCCACACACCCCTCCGCTGGCGCACCTGGCAGGGCCGCCCCAGTGGGCGCAAGGGGCCTCTGTTCCTGAGATTCACGCAAAGGTCAGGCTGTGGCAGCAGGAATGTTTCCAGGCAATGCTCGTTGGTCGGGGCGGCACCTCTGGCCATGGCTCCTTCTTGGTCTATGATGGGGAGAATTGACACCAAGTCTTAGGGGGGACAATGAGGGCACAGGAACGGTCACCGAGAAGAAGACGAGGGGCTTGGGGCAAGGATTCTGCCTTCAGCTCTCGGAAGGGCTGCAGAGCTTGCGGGCCCAGCTGGGGGGTGACACACAGGATCATAAAGGGGCTCAGAGTCAGCCGCCCGGTTTGTCCCAGCAGCCACTATGTGCAAATGGCTAGTTTCCTGGGCGTCGATTTCCTCATCTCTAAAATGGGAATAATGGCACTTAAAGGATGGGGAGATGCCATTGTAAGGAAGCTTTTTAAAACAGCTGAGGCCGGGCGCCGTGGCTCGTGCCTGTAATCCCAGCACTTTGGGAGGCCAAGGTGGGCGGATCACGAGGTCAGGAGATCGAGACCATCCTGGCCGACATGGTGAAACCCCATCTCTACTAAAAATACAAAAATTAACTGGGCTTGTGGTGCGCAATTGTAATCCCAGCTACTCGGGAGGCTGAGGCAGGAGAGTCCCTTGAACTGGGAGTCAGAGGTTGCAGTGAGCCGAGATCGCACCACTGCACTCCAGACGCCAGTCTGGCCACAGAGCGAGACGCTGTCAAAAAAAAAAAAAAAAAAAAAAAGGCAGCCTAAGGTGCAGCCACTCTGACCACACAGCTATTTCCTTCTCTGCTTATTTCCACCCTCTCCTGTCTGTGCACATTTGGCTTACGTGGCTCCAGGCACAATGTGCATTCTGCTTTTCCTAACCTTCTGCTAGATTGCAATTCCTCATGTGTCTACATGCTTCTCATAGTTCACGTTTCTAATGGTTGCCAGGTTGTCGATTGTGGTGGTGTCTCAGGAGTAACACGGTTTCTCTCTCATTTACACTCACACGCGCGCATGTGCACACACTCACACACACACACACACACACACACACAGAATCTTTGCCATCTGTGAGGCGTTCAGATCACTGCTAGATTTCTACCTGGTAGAGAACACTAGAATGAACACCTTCCTATTGATTACTTACTTTTGCTGCTTTTGAATTCTCTCCTGAGGGTACATTTCAAAGCTGCAGTTCCCTGGATGTTGCTCCATAATTTTGCCATTTAGGGTCAAGAGCCGCATGTCCGGCAGGGCTGTTGAACAAAGGGACAGGATGCCTCGGGTGGCAGTGAGCCTCCCATGCCCGGAGGCGTGCAAGACAATTGGGGCAGCCATCCATTGATCTGACAGCTATTTGTTGGGTCTCATAATGTACCAGGCAGGGTTAGGGGCTGGGGAAGCTCAGGACTGGCGGCTCCCCGGCGCCTGCTGTGAGGACTGCACTCCGGGCAGACACGGCTCTGCACAATTCATCTGTCCAGATGAATTGTGCCTGGGCAGACTCACCATGGTCTCCCATGCTTCAGGGAACCTCAGCTCCATCAGCCCGTGGCTCTGTCTGCCCTGATGACCTTGCAATTCAGAGAGGCCAGTGTGTGAGATGTGATTATTCCCTTTAATCCTGACTTTAGACCAGAGATTACTTGAGGGTTCTCCCCTTTTAACATTTACCTGTAGAATTTATTCCTCCTGCCTAATTGCTGTGGACTCTTTGACCGACATTTCCTCGTTCCCCCAGGCCCCGCCCCCAGCCCCTGGTAACCATCTCCTACTTTCTGCTTCTGTGTTTGACTTTTTTAGATTCCACATAGAAGTGAGATCGCCCGCCGCACTTAGCTTTCTGTGTCTGGTTTATCACTTAGCATAATGTCCTCCAGGCTCATCCATGTTGTCGCAAAGGATAGGGTCTCTGTCTTTTGCAATGCTGAATACTATTCCCTTGTGTGTGTATACACAAGCATATAATTTTTGTCAATTAAAAATAAAGGCCTGGCGTGGTGGCCCACACCTGCTATCCCATCACTTCGGGAGGCTGAAGTTGGAGGATGACTTAAGCCCAGGAGTTCAAGACCAGGCTGGGCAACATAGCAAAAAATAAAAACTTAGCTGGGCATGGTGGCACCCACCTGTGGTCCCAGCTACTCTGGAGGCTGAGGTGGGAAGATCACTTGAGCTGGGGAGCATGAGGCTGCCATGAGCCGTGATCGCACCAGTGCACTCCAGCCTGGGCGACAGAGGCAGACCCTATCTCAATCATTCAATCAATCAGTCCATCAAAATAAATTAATTCATTTAAAAATATTTATTTGTAGGCCGGGCACGGTGGCTCAAGCCTGTAATCCCAGCACTTTGGGAGGCCGAGGCGGGTGGATCACGGGGTCAAGAGATCGAGACCATCCTGGTCAACATGGTGAAACCCCGTCTCTACTAAAAATACAAAAAATTAGCTGGGCATGGTGG